TGCATTTTTTATTATTATTTACAAATATACATATATATGACAGGGTTGTGTTTTTTGCACAAATTGGCCACTGCTACTTGTGTAGTGTAGGAGAGTAGATGGCATGTATGGCAGCAATAAAATAAGTACATAACATATACTTATGGATTAAAATGAAATTAAAATTAATTAAAAAAATAAACATTTTCCATCTTAATTTCATGTGATGGGGTTTAGTTGTTAAGCTTGACAGTACACTCTGACTATACGCCAAAAAAAAAAAGAATAAAACTATGACACTACTTACTATTCTCTGCACTACTATTAAAGGGACCTGAATTATGTCACATATGGTTGGAGTCTAAATTATTATAGGTGTAGAATGGTTAGTGTAATGCGGTTGAGTTGAGACTGAGGGACATAAATATATATTCTGTTTTTTATAAAATATCTTGCATTTTTAGAAAATACTGGACACATTGAGTTATTTTATTTTGTCTTTTCTAAGTACAAATTCAGTGAAGCTCCTCAGGGACATGACAAAATGCTTGGTGTAAGATAAGTAATTATTTTATAATAAAAAATATTCAAATGCAATAAATATTTTGATTTATTATAATGGACATACCAAACTATTGTGAAAAGCTTTTATCACTTCTTTTTGGTTAACCACCATGTTAAAATGTCTGGGGGACATAAATATTACCAAATTACAGGAATCACCTATAAATGCAGACTACAAGTACAAACTTCATTACATCATTCGCAATGCTTCATGTTGGGCTGTTTTGAAAGTTGTATTCATTATTACTGGGAACTTTCTAAATTTTATTTTTATTTATTTATTTATTTATTTTTACTTCTGTATCTCTATTGTTGGGCTCTGTTACGGCCTGACCAACAAAAAGCTACACAAAATGACCCAGCAAAGACAGAATGTTTGCTTAATGTTCCAATTACCAAACTATAACGTCATAGACCTGATTGTTATTTTTATATAAAAATAAAGAAGCAAATTACAAACCATAAGACAAATACAATAGATACATATTAAATATTAAATACACTCGTTTTCCTAATACAGTAGGCTTAACATGTATACATGTATTTAACATCTTTTGTTGTTTGATTAACATTAATGAGACAGACAGGTATTTATTTAGGCTGCTGCCCCTTTAAGACCGAATGAATGTAATATTCTGACACATATTCGGTAAGCTGAAATGTCTCACTTTACCTGCACTCATTCTAGATATACAGTATCTCACAGAAGTGAGTACACCCCTCACATTTTTGTAAATATTTTATTATATCTTAGTTATTTTGAGGGGACAGCAAATTTACACTGTTATACAAGCTGTACACTCACTACTTTACATTTTAGCAAAGTGTCATTTCTTCAGTATTGTCACATGAAAAGATATAATCAAATATTTACAAAAATGTGAGGGTACTCTATGTTCAAAATTAAGATGAGCTATTTGGACACTTGTGGGACATGTTCAGGTAAAATCTTTGTGTTACCCTGCTAGGATACCTGTGTGAAAACACACTGTTGCAAAAACTTCTGAACAACAGGCTAATGTTTGTGTACTACTTTATATATTTGTGTGAACTACTACTACTACTACTAGTTATATATATATATATATATATATATATATATATACATACATACATACACACATACATATATATAATTAAGGTGCAATTATATTAGTTATTATATTATATTAGTTAATATAGTTGCACGTAGTGCTGTTTCTATTTCAATAACCATGGTAAATTGATTACTGTAAATCTTTCCATGTAAGGAAGTAAATAAATAAATAAATACATACATGATACATACATACGTAAAAATTCACAAAATAAATATTACACCATTTGTATTTGTCAGAAATATTTAATAAAAGTAATTACTGCTCATACATTTAGATATGAGACATTTATCTCACGCAACAGTATGCAGTTTCTCTAAATGACCATTCGCTTTATTCCATGATGTACAATTTGTTCTGTACAAAACAAAAACGCTAAACTTTGTATAAAAAATATAAGTTAATTTAAAATTTAACTCTAATTAACAAAATAACAATGGTAATAATCAATAATTGTGGCAATAATATAATAGGAGCAATAATATTAATAACAATAATAATAGTCTCCAAATATAGTGCATATGAGGGGAAAGACAGCTGGTTGTGGATGATCTTGGGTGACTGAGGTGAGCGGTGCTGAATAGATCCTCTCAAATCTGACTCCGTAGTAGATGGGGTTGGTAGCATTACTCCAGAGCGAACACACACTCGCATGCACACGGGATCAGAAAGTGCATGACTGCCTAAGATAGCACCATTAGAATGTAGCTTACATCTCCAAACTCGGTCTCTCTACACAGTGCACACATCGCATGCCGCACACACACACACACACACACACACACACACACACACACACACACACACACACACACACACACACACACACTTGCATGTGCACGGGAACAGAAAGTGCATGACTGCCTAAGATAGCACCATTAGAATGTAGCTTACATCTCCAAACTCAATCTCTCTACACACAGTGCACATGTCGCATGCCGACACAACAATTGGAAGCCATGTTTAACATTCCCATATACAATGGTGTACACCTTTGGTACACTTAAAAACTAACAGGCATCTTGAAGCAGTTTGTGACAGTATTGGTTACATTCACTCATCAGTCCTGCAGTATTTACAGAAGGTCATCAGTCAGTCAGAGCTCCATAACTGTCTGCAGGGACTGCAGGTGCATCTTACAGATACAAAGAAAAAAAAAACTGATTTGAAACAAAGGCATTATATTGATGGCAAACATTGTCAGAAGCATTTTCAATTGCCCCTTCACTAAGCTTACTGTTCTTTGCTCACACAAACTTTTACAAACTGTTCCATAGAAACTGGAGCAGAATGTGTTCCGAAAGCGGTGAAGAAATGTGACATTACAAAGCATTATTCATCTGCTGATTTTGTGTAAAGAAATGTTTGAATTACACAGAAACAATAATCTTTGAAGACTGTGAATCATGTTGATTTGGGAATGAGAGTTACAAAATGTAATCCACAGTATGAACTTCTCAAGGTTTATTTAGATTTGGGAAAGGGAAAGTAATGTGTTTATCATTCTGTTCTCATTATTAGATAGTTTTAAGTGTTGTGGAAACATTTCTATCCAATTCCTTTTAAAGAATCCAAACATGCAGGATTCTTATGTACATTAGAAAAGATGAACAGTTTGTCTGGTTTTATGGTGGATGCACTAGTTAGTAAGATAGGATTGGTCGGGTATTTTGAAGGGGGCCAGTCCACAGAGATAAAGGGAGAGGTTTCAGTCATTATGTACTCTTTAAGTAAACCAATGGGCAAAGTCAAAAATGTACAAAAATAATAATTGAAATTTTGGTTCGTTTTTCACCAAACCATATCATATGCCCTCAGAACACTTGGAAAATGCAGCACGAGTTGCATGGGATCATTCTGTGATCTTTTTCTTTAATGTTTGAAGCTGATCGCAATTCACTGCCATTATATGGATCAGCGTAAGCAGGACTTTATTATTATTACTATTATCTCTCCTTCTGTGGTCTGAAAAAGAAAGAAGGTCCTACAGCACTAGAACAACACCAGACTTTTCTTTTTTTTTTGTGAACTACCCCTTTAAGTAACTGAACTAATTTAAGTCTGCAGCCTTTTTTAATAAGATGTTTATATATGTCTCTGATGAATGTATTAGTATATGTCTTTTTATTTCCCTACAGTCATTTATCTTTTATTTATTAATTTATTTATTTTGCATCAATTAATTTACAGATTTGGTGGAGTTGTAGTACCTTAAATAATAATTTATTATAATAATAATAATAAAAAAATGATTTGATGAAAATAATTAAAATAATGAAAAATAATGAAAAATATTTGAGGAAAATAATTAAAATAGCTTGAGAATCAGAAATAGTTCCATATTAAATGTTTGCATAATCAAGCAATCAATTCGGTTGTGTACATTTTCTCTTTTGAACAGATTTTGGGTAACCTTCCTCACTTTTGCAAACAATTATGACAAAATATCAGTGTGGATCGTCTTTTTAGAGTCATTGTTGTCCTCAGCTCAACATATGCAGTGCTTAACAAATTTATTAGACCACCACCCAATGTAAGGTTTTTACCAAAATAATTTTTTATGTTTCTGTAATGGTTAATCCACCAGTATGTGTAAGCTCTTTAGTCACAGTTTCTAATGCTAAAATATTATTGTTGGGATTTAATGGATTCAAAGATAGATTGCACAAAAGGTTCATCAAAAGCAAGTCTTTGGGAACAACTAGAAACTATTTGGAAGTCAACAACGATAAAAACAATGCCAGCAAGAATGCAAGCTGTTATCAAGGCCAAAGGAAGCCATTCAAAATAAAAATAAAACAGGCTATATAAGCTTTTTGGTTATTATGCGTGAATAAAGAATATTTAGTTGTTTCAGTTTGTTATTTGCCTAATAAATGACAATAACATTTTTAGTTTTAAACAAGTTTTTGACAGGTGGTCTAATAAATTTGTTAAGCACTGTATATAGCTACATAGTTTTGTGAGGATTTGAACTGAAAATAAAACTTACAAACTCACTCGATTACACTCTGCCCCTTTCTTGTTTGCCATTGGCTGCAATTGTGACAGTTTCATTTCAGTGAGGAACACCGTGACTTGTGTGTGAATACAACAAGGTTCAGAGTGAAACTTATGCCATCACAAAAGCTCTTTGCTTTGGAAGGACGTGCTTTAGGGGATTTTTCACAAAAGGTTCATCAAAAGCAAGTCTTTGGGAACAACTAGAAACTATTTGGAAGTCAACAACGATAAAAACAATGCCAGCAAGAATGCAAGCTGTTATCAAGGCCAAAGGAAGCCATTCAAAATAAAAATAAAACAGGCTATATAAGCTTTTTGGTTATTATGCGTGAATAAAGAATATTTAGTTGTTTCAGTTTGTTATTTGCCTAATAAATGACAATAACATTTTTAGTTTTAAACAAGTTTTTGACAGGTGGTCTAATAAATTTGTTAAGCACTGTATATAGCTACATAGTTTTGTGAGGATTTGAACTGAAAATAAAACTTACAAACTCACTCGATTACACTCTGCCCCTTTCTTGTTTGCCATTGGCTGCAATTGTGACAGTTTCATTTCAGTGAGGAACACCGTGACTTGTGTGTGAATACAACAAGGTTCAGAGTGAAACTTATGCCATCACAAAAGCTCTTTGCTTTGGAAGGACGCGCTTTAGGGGATTTTTGTTTTCAACTCCACTCAGAATAGGCTGTATTTCTTCATTCAAGTACTGCAAAACATTTTTGCTCAAAATATTATCTAAAACATCCATCAGACCACCAGAGCGATCGGTTTATCGTGCCTCATGCACCTTAACTGCGACTTAACATTCTTTCTGTCTGTCTTAAAACATAAATCCTCTCATTGTGTACAACATTTGTGACCAGAGCAGGATAAAAAGTACCATTTTAAACTAGACGAACCATCTTCTAGTTGCAAGTCACCCAACCAGATCGTAACTCCGGTTCGTATTTAAGGCCTCTTCAAATGTAAGACCAGGAAAGAAACTGAGATAAAGAAAAATAATCACCTAAACGAAAATATGCAGAAGCAACCTCCTAAGGACAAGTACTGCCATTCTTCTGAAGTGATCCCACACAGAGTGGACTTGAGTCCCAGCCATCAACAAGGGAGCCCTGATGTCATTAGAGTGTATGCCTCCGTCACCCACTGAGGTAACATTATGTTTTGTTTATTTTTTCTGAATGTATCCTTCCCCGCCTGGCCTCTGCACTTCCTCCTGTCTCTGCAGGATGTGGGACTGTCCACAGGAAGTCCAGTGTCTCTGGCAGGGTGTAGGTGGTGCTGTGGGACAGGTGCCACGGATTCAATTGTCCACTTTTACTGGTCCACTGTCTGATGTCTCGCTCAGTTCGGCCTCGTTAGTAGAAGCCCACGTAGAGGTGTCCTCTCCTTGCACGATTTGTTCCCATTGGGCCAGGTTTTCCCTGCAAACACAGACAGCAAAAACACAATAGTTGGTTTATAGTTTAAATGTGGCAAAACGGTCCACAAATTAAGTGACTAAAGTGAGAAATAGCAAGTTTTGCTTTCACACATTTTCGCCTCTGAACTTAAAGATGTTTTTTGTTTTTCAACATAGCACAACATTATAATAAGAAATGTTTCTTGAGCAGCAAATCAGCATATTAGAATGATTTCTGAAGGATCATGTCACACTGAAGATTGGAGTAAAGATGCTGAAAATTCAGCTTTGTCATCACAGGGATAAACTGCATTCTAAAACCTATTAAAATAGAAAACAGCTCTTAAATCGTAATATGTCAGCATTTACTATTATTATTATTTATTGTATTCTTGGTCAAATTAATGCATGTGAGGTGAGGCAAGAGACTTCTTAAAAAACTTTTAAAAGATAGTGTAGGATTTTAAATAAATATGGCTATTAAAAAATTCTTAAATACTTTTAGTAAGAATTGTTGTTGCATTTCTCAGTTGTGCTCTGTTTGGCTATAAAGTATATGGTTAATGGTGATTTGATTAATGGTAACAGTTGCTGTGTTGAAACACTGCTTTTAAATTTATAATGTAACTTGTCACTTGAAATGTAACTTGAATTAATTTGTTTATTTTAAAATCTTAAAAATGCATTTATTCTTAAATGCTTAAAATCATTATTTTCAGATAATAATATTATAAAGTGTAACTATGTTTTTCCTCACAAAACTACAATTTAAAACAAAAAACAAACCAACAACCCTGAAAAGTAGCCAAGCAGTGTTGCTGAAATAAATGATAGCTTTGATTTGTTTAACTTTCCTTTTTTTTTTTTTTGGTCAATACGTCTGTAACGACGAGTCAAGAGGAGTGAGGATCCATCTGCAGCTTTAATATCACAACGATAAATACAGTACGGAGGCAGTAACACTGAGGAGGCAGAGAATACACAATCCAGAGAACAGGCGAGAGATCAGAACAGGCAGATTAACATTCACAAACCAGAGAACAGGCGTGAGGTCGGGGCAGGCAGATAAACAATCACAGTCCAGGTAACAGGCAGAGGGTCGAGGCAGGCGGCAAGGATCAGACACGAGAGTACAGTCCAGGTTCAAACACAGAGAAGGTAATCCACAGAAAAATGCTCAGAATTGACAACCGTAGCAAATCAAGACTTCGCAATGAGAGTGTGAGTGAGCAGTGCCCCACAGAAAGCGTGTGTGAGTGAATGAGTAATTGGATGCAGTTAGTGTGAGTGAGTGACTAATTGGATGCAGGTGTAGTGCAATCAGTCCCAGGTATGAAGGCGGATGGGAATTGAAGTCCGAATCAAAACAGTCAATATTCAGGTGAAGGTTCCCTCTGGTGGAGCAAGAGAGGCAGTACAGGAACCTCACTTGTAACAATGTCATTCTCATACATTTAAATGGATCCAACTAACCGATAATAAAATCTGTTTTTGAGTATTTTCATTATTGTTTTTTTTTTGTATTGATTAGTTGTTACAACCCTAAAAATGTCAATTGAAGGCTGTCACTAGAGTAACAGAAACAATGCTATCAGGGCGATCCAAACCCAGACAGGTAGAAAGAAAATTTTTCCAGTTTTTACTTATTTATTTATATTTATATAGCATGCAGGGTAAAAACAGAGGGTTAAAACTGTTGACTATTAGACTCTCTCTTTCAATTAGCGATGCTGATGTCATTTATTGGTCCCTCCCTGATCTCACAATGACCAGGGCTCTGAAGCGTCTGGGCCCGCTGCCCACACATTTCAGTTGAAAACCTGGTGCTGACGCAGTGGCAAGGCTTTTCAAATTGTGCCGTCAACTGTGTTTGCATTCCCCACAGATCAAGCTCACAGAGGCTCGCAAGCATTCAATGAGTTTAGGGGTACAGGGGGAGAAGTTTAGACACAGACCCATCCTCACATCAGAACTAGCACAATGGCTACATTATCGAAGTCGGTTAATGTGACCTGAGCAAAGCAGCACAATTAACTCCAGTTTCAGAGCGGGAAAGAAAATGGTGTATTGTATAAAGAATATTAATATGTGCTAAACTTATTGAATTTCATTAAAAATCAATTAATGATATAAAATTATATTAATCACAATAAGCAATACTTCCATTAAGTAATATAGCTATGTCTGTAAAGCAACATAGCCACTTGGCGCAGTAATATAAAATTAAGTTAACGTGTGGTCACAGGTCTGCATATAGCAATTATAACTGTTTTAAACAAGGCTCATCCAGGAATCTGTTTTATAATATTAGTTTTGTCAAGCAGATTTTCAAATATTAGTCAATTGGTTCAATTTGCTAGTGCTTACGAAGACGGATGATTATATCACAGCATTGGAGCATTCATGCAGTCAAACACTGTGTTGAGTGTGTGACTGACCTGCAGGCTGTAAGCAGAGGACTGGAGGGAGGAAACAGCTCTGACAGGGTGGTGTAGCAGGGAATAGCCACAGCATTGTAAAACCCGACCTGAGAACATGGGTAAAACAAGACTCAGGTACTACTGAACATAGAAAGACATTAAAAAATGGCTTTGCAACTCAAATTTAGCATTTACTCTACAAGTTAACCTAATGAGCTGCCTACCTAGGCAACGTTTTAGGCACACTTCTGACGTGAAGGCATGGGATTGGAAAAGCAACGTTCTTCTAGGAGCTTGATAATGACAGAAAGTTCTGATTTACCTGTCCCTGGGGAACCTCATCCTTTTTATCCCTGTCCATCATAGGGATGGGCTGCATTCCAATCTTCTTAATTTCATCCCCCTATCATCACAAACAAGATGAACAATTTCACCGACTGTCCTTCAGAGGTCTGGCCTGCAGTTTGACATACTGCTCAAAACAATTCAGTGATTTGTTCTATTATTTAATTTATTACACAATATTGTTACAACAAGATTCATGCTTGGTTAAGAATGATTAAAAGAAAGATTAAAGCTTACCTCAGCCCAGAACTCAGCATAGATGTCATTGGCTGTGAGTTGTGTGACGGACCACAGTTTGGTCACAGAGCAGAGATCACAGGCCGTCATCATCAGACCGATCACACGGTCCCTGCGGCGGACAAATAATCACATAGCAATTCATCAGCGGGATCAGATCAGGGTGTGAGTTACACATACTAGGAATTCTCTACATTAAGATACAAAGCTATTGCTTTGCTTGAATTAAGTTGTAATAGATTTCAAAAACGTCTAAAATCATATAGTATTGACAAAGCACCCATTTCATTCACAGTCCAATTTATCAAAAACAAACAACAAAAACAAACCTTAAAACACCTAAAATGTTAGTTTTGTGAGAAATTCATTCATACAGCTTTTGATTTACACTGATTTGATTTAGTAATGTCTGCATGGTGCATTATGATAATGAGATTTTTGGAAGAAAATGTGCTTAATTGTCAAATAAAATAATAGTCAATGTCATAATAGAAAAAGAAAAAAAATTAAAAAGGCTTTCTTTGCGCAAAATAAGACTTGTTATTTTTGTCTTTTGACTTTAGGGTGAAATGCAACCTGGATATATGTTCTTTGGTGACTTTATTTTAAAGTGATGTAGTTACATGTTACATGTACTTACCATAGTAATAACAGAATTTACGCAAAGTTACAAGCAGCTAATCCTAAACCAAACCCTAACCTTTAACATACAGTAAGTGTTACTACAGTGGTTCCCAACCCTGGTCCTGGAGGCACCCCAACACTGAACATTTTGCATGTCTCCTTTCTCTGACACACCAATTTCAGGTCTCTCTACTAATGAGCTGATGACCTGAATCAGGTGTGTTTGATTAAGGAGACATGCAAAACGTGCAGTGTTGGGGTGCCTCAAGGACCAGGGTTGGGAACCACTGTGTTACTACTTCAAGCACAGCCTATGACACTGTTTCAGATGGCTCCCTGAAAATATCTCTAAAGTTGAGGTAAGATTTACAAGAGTTCTGTGATAATGGAGATGAACTATGACCTCTGACCTGTGAGCACGGTTGTTCAGGTCCAGCACCCCTGTGGCCAGCAGTTCAGTCAGCTGCTTGCGGTTGCCGAAGTACAAAGCGAGGTCTGTAGCGATGATGGCCTTCCTGATGATCTCCAGCACCTGCTCATACTCACTGGAAGTCAGGTTGGAGAAAATATTGTGCCCTTCCAGCTATGAGAAAAAAAGAGATCAATAAAAAAGCAAAAGCTCCACTTATGGGGCGTCTGGCTCTGCTGGAGAGTTACAGCGAAGCCGAAGGGACATCCAAGAGATGGCTGACAACCAACTGACTTATGATGGGAAATTTCTTAAATATGGAAATTAGAAAAAAGACATTAGACCACAAACTTTTTTGTGGCTGACCTCATGAGAATACAGAAATTAGAGAGATTTTGGGGCAAATTGTGCTCTATTCATAAATGTCAACACAACATTTAGTTATTACCACCAATGATAAGTAGGCAGTAAACAGAATTTCATTTAAAAGACAGCAGCAGTAATTCATCAAAAGATGATTAAAGGAAATTTTTGTTAAAACTGGGAATATATCCACACGTGTGATGCAGTGAAGTGCACTTCTGTAATTTAAAAAAAGCTGAATCAGACTGTTGGAGTGATGATCTACAGTCCTCTACAACTGGCTTGTAACATGGGGATCTGAAATGCAGTATCATTTCAGTACAAATTTCGGTACAAATTTTGGGGGCATGTTTATACCTGATTTGTAAATAAATGGCAATACCACGTGAATGCATCCTTGTATGTCAGCTTTTGTCAGTATGACACTCAAAGACAATGTGATGGTTTCTGCATGCAAGGCACTACAGTCAAAAACATTTTTATCAATTTTATGATTTTGGTTTCAGACTAGTGGAAGTCTTGAAGTCTTTCAGTTTTATTAATTTTATACATTTGTGTCTCTAGATTTTAATTACAATACATATTTTTAAAGTCCATTTTCTTAAAATGAAGCTTACAGCATTACAGTATTAGGTAATTTACTGTCTATTCCTATCTATATCTATAATGCATTACTTTTACATTTACAAGAAAATATCTAAGTTACTTTTTCAAATAAGTAACACAAGTTACTTTGTTTTCACATTTCTTCAATGACACATCTCTTTTCTCCTTATTGAGAGAAATTGAGGTACAGAGGCATTTCATTTAGCCTGAGGCTTATTAATTTCTCTTTTGGTGTGAAGGGGCCTTTATAGTTACCAAAAATATAACTTTTGGATTTTTTGTGATTAGAATTAAATAAGCAAGCCCAACTAAGGTGACACAAAGTAACGCAAAAGTAACGTAATGCATTACTTTGCATTACTTTAGTTAACTTTTTTATGGAGTAACGCAATATTGTAATTACTGTTAAAAGTAACTTTCCCCAAAACTGTAATTTAGTAATTGTAATTAAACTGTAAACTGTAATTTAGTAACTGACTTTAATATGCCAACAAAATGAAATGTTAATTTTGAAACTGGTTTTATCCAGTTTTAACAGTTAACATTTAACAGTACAGTTAAAATGTACACAAATAAGTGCGCATTCACATTTAGCGTGTTTGAAACTATCGTACTGAGCTGGCACAGTGTGTAGGAGCTTTACCTGCAGGATGGACACCGTCTGTGAAAAGTGATGCTGTTCCATGGTGGATGTGGAATACAGAGCAGCCAGCGGATGGTCAAACTTCTGCAGATAACTGTTACTGTAGCCGCGGTGGTCCAGGTCATGACATAAGCAGGCAATCAGCAAGCCTTTCCTCTGTGTGAGAAGTAAGTCAGTGACAGTAAAGGACCGGTTTACACCAAGAATTATAACTACAAAGATAACTATATTGTTAACTATATTAGCATCCACACCAGCAGACAATAATGTTCTGTTTATTATAATTGTGCGCTGAAGTTGAGTTGTCTAAAGCTTTAAATGTTCAAGCTCTTTAAACTGTATTCTGAATGGCTGTTGAAATTGTATCGTTCCTAAGCTGTAAAAAAAACATTATTGAAGGGATTCATTCCTCTGCTGTGGTGTAGACTTCACTATTCTTACAAAATTAAAACGATTATTAAAACTTCATAGTTATAGTTACCTTTCAGTCGGTCACTCTCGATGTCACGTCGGATGACCGACAAATTGGGATCTCGCTTAGAGAGACCAATCTACTTCGAGTGTAAACTAAACGAGCCAATGCACATTGGCATGCGATTATTGCATCCAGCTGCCGCTGATCACAGCGTGAGTATAAGTAGGCAGCAGATGCAGCGCATATTCAGCTTTTCGCTTCAGAGCCGAGTGATCACATCGTTCTGCTCCTGACTACTCTACTGAGACAGAAGACTGAACAAGTTCAGCGCGCTCTTGGAGAGCTCTTTGTGTTGGCGGTACGGCGCTTCAGCGGTGGTGGTTTCCCGTGTCGAGTGGGTTGCACACATCAGAGATGATCATCTCCCCTGTGCGCCTCAGCACGCTAAAAGAGCTTTTTCCCTAAAAGAGCAATTTCGGTGCGTCTTTTTAAAGACGACGTTGCGTGGCAAACTTGACGTTACGTGTTTATAAAGACGATGTGGGTCTTGCTATAGACAACGTATCACCCGTTTCTGGATTCGGTCGTTACCTGGCGCTGGGTGATGGTCACGATCGCTGCCTCACGTGCCTGGGCATGTAGCACGCTGAGGTGGCGTTTGTGGATGAGTCAACTTCTCATTGCGGGAAGAAGATCATCTCGGAGTCGCGGGCCAAGCTCTGTTTGCCGCCGTAGGGGTAGGGCTCGAGTGGAGACTTCCACCGGGTCCCGAGCCCTCAAGGTTGCACGATTGGTTCTCGGGGTGGTTCGCGCTGCTTCTCAGCGTCCTGCCTTTCTTCCCGGAGGTGCATGAGGAGCTCACCAGGTCGTGGATGGTACCTTTTACTGCCGGAAACCGATCTGCTGCTTCCTCCTCCCTCACCACCCTCGATGGTGGTGCGGCTATGGGGTTACAAGGGTCCCCCCGGTGGAGCGGTCGGTTGCGATGACTGACGTGCCGTCTCCGTTCCCTCCTTCAGGGAACGAGGGTTACCATACGTAACCGAGACGTTCTCACTATAATTAGTGTTTATTCTATATTTGTCCTAGTAAATATATTTATATTTATGTTTAATGTTGTCATCCTCATTGTTTTTCTACCAGGCACTGTAATGAATTATATATACAGTATATTATGTAATTAATTATATATATATGGAATACAGGTACAGGTTTGATGGTATGGTTACTTTTAAAGGTGGGTTAAAGGGTAGAGTCAACCGTATAATTAGATGTGATTACAGAAATTGATTACAGATGTAATTACATGCAGGTATTTTTTAAGTAAATGTACAATGTAAGCCGCATCTAGTGGGTTCAACTGGATAGGCTAACAAAAACATTAAAACGCAATGACACTTACATTGTCATCGCATCTCGTGCACCACTGATAAGGCTGCCTGATGCACACCTAAAATTCGAATGCAACATGCACACACGTTTTTTTGACAGCCCTATTTCTTATTATTCACTGCTTGTCAGTCTTCTAGCCAAGTCCTTATTAACAGCACATTTAAGTAATACTATTCATAATTTAGTAGTTGTAATGCAACTTGTTTAAAGAGTCTAATAATTCATAATTCATGTTTCTGGGGAACGGCCTGATTAAAATATGTCATAATGTAATCCTGAATCAACAGGTATGGATAACCATGTTAACCATGTTAGAAACGGTCCCACTTAAGTGGCCTTAACCACTATGTACTTACATCAAAAAATAAGTACTATGTACTTACTGTGTTTATATTGTATTGCAAAACACTTTTGCTGCTATTGAGGTGGGATACGGGTAAGGTTAATGACAGGTTTGGTGGTATGGGTAGGTTTAAGGGTAATTCAACAGTATAATTATAAATGTAATTACAGAAATTGATTACAGATGTAATTACATGCAGGTATTTTTTAAGTAAATGTACAATGTAAAAACATGTATGTACACAATAAGTGTATTGCATTAAATTATTAATTTATATGTTAGTACAGAAATGCCACATAAAGTGGGACCAACATAAGTCACAATTGTATCTTTGTCATAATAATGTTCAATAATTGGGTCTTTGTTGTTCAGCACACTGCGCCAGGCACTTGTTGGTTCATGAATATTAAAAATGTCATATGACATTTGCCCTGAGTGATTTGGTGAAAGGCATTGCTGGCGAGTTCTAGCCATTGTGGAATTGCGGTTTGCTACTTACACATGGTCAGTCAACAAAATAAACCTTTCTTAAATGTAATGACTACCCCAAAAAATGGAGGAATGAATTTAGTAAGTGTATGATAGTTGCTACACCCTTCAGTTACTGTAGTTGACTTTTTGTTTGAGGCTTGTAGTTTAGCATTTTTCTCACTGATGTGAGATGCATTTCTTATAAGTTCACTGTAAATGCTATTATGAGAACGACACTGACCTCAAGCTCAGTGAAGATCCCAGTGGTTTTTAGCAGGATGGCGTACATGCAGTGTGCCACCGTCACAGCATGTTTCCAGTTGTGGTATGGAACTCGTCTGTAATTTTTCCGCACTGACATAGTGAAGCGACACAGTTTCTCCTGCTCAAAGCTTTAATTACACAAAGAAAGTGTGATTGTACACCTTTGCCTTGTCAAAGCAGTACTGTACATGAGTGTTTCTTCATCTACGGGCGCTTTTATTTCCAAAGGATTGATTTTTATTAAGACAACAGGTTTAAAAGTTTTGTTATATTAAGGTTGCGTATGTCTTATTTATTTTCAAATGCCTTTTATGCATATATTTTATCGTTCTACCCTGGTCCCAGATCTAATCCTAAAATATGAAAATCATTCTTAAATGTAAATTATATCATCATCATTAATCACAGTAAAAGCAATTTAAACCGTTACACAAATTATTCAAATATATTTTGTATGCAAATGATTCACCTGTCATTTGCAGCACCAACAATTTTGCCTCAATAAAGATTTTAGTTAGTTTAAAAGTTAGCTTACTAAGAAATTATGCAAAATGTAAAAATCTGATTTAATTGTTTTCATTTAGGATAACATACTGTCTATGCATTTAGCCTTAGTGAGACATTTTATTCCAAACAAATAATTTCCTTCACTGCTATTTCTACTACATATATGCATTCATTTCTCTTATAGGATACGTTGTGACAAAACACACAGAGCTCTTAAAAATCGACACATTCTTACCTGTTTTTTCCACATGAATTGTGAACCATGTATACAAATATTGCAGGCCAAAGTTCCTCAAAAGGAGCAACGTCGAAGTGAAACCTTAGACAGAAATATGACACAGTTTGTTTGCAATTCAAATCTGCACAGGTGAAATATGAGCTAAAAAAGTGTTCAATACATCCTGATTACACTTGCACTCTTATGTAATGTCTACTTGTCTACACATGAAAATAACACCAAACCAATATATTTATAACCAATAAATAACACCAAATCAATATATTTACACCAACCAATATATTTTCTAATTCTCCTAACCTAATAAATAGACAACTAATGGCAAATTTACAGCTATTCAGTGTGGCTTGTCCAATCAGGTTTTAGAGTTGCAAAATTAAATAACTACTAAGTAACCAAATTACTAAAAGCCATTATGTATGTAAAAGTGATCTTTGACGTATGAGAGTGTAAACTCACAGTTCGATCTCTTTATATATGGCTGAAGGGAGGGAGAGATGTGTGAGGGTCTTCCACTCCTCTGATGTGCAGATGCTGTGGTACGAAAGCTTCTCCATCGTCACCCGGTAAATGCACTCTGAATGTCTTATCCGGTGATACATCTATACACAAACACATGCATACACATACACGCCATGTGTCTACGCAGATGCAAAATATAGATGCAGAATATCTAACCCTTTGAAAATATTGTGGTTGTATTTATCTAAATGGACATCCATCTATCTATCTATCTATCTATCTATCTATCTATACAGCAATATTAATAATGTGCTCACCTTCATGTTGACCTTTAACTTCAAATGGAACAATCCATGGTTTGAGAGTTGGGTCACTCTCCCTCTCTTTACTGTAGCTACAACTTATATTTATGCCACTTTGGCATAGCAATTGCTTGAATATACAGCTACAAGATCAAAATTTGATACCTTATTGTGCTAAAAACCCGTCACTCATTAATCAAAACATCTACCTGCTATCGCTCTTGATCGGCTAAAAGTGCGGGCTGGTCCACATCAACAACGACTCTGCAGTGTAGTGCAGTTTAGTAACGTCATGATGACTGATTAGATGGAGTACACGCACACTTGGGTTTTGTTTGTTAACCAATTAGAAAACTGGCAAACTGATCCCAAACCAGCCCAAATCCACCCAAACCAATTTTAACCTTACAAAATCAAATTCAAAACCACCCAACTGGGCAGAAATCCACCCAATCTGGCAACACTGTGTGACCCCACAAAGGACCAAGTGTCGGAAATCTCTCGTAGACACTCCTAAGCCTGTTTCTTCCAAACATTCACATTCTCTAGAAGGTGTGCTATTGTGACCAACGGATGTTTTATTAGACTCCAGGTCTGCACACTTACATTTGCACAGTGTGGTACTGGTGGTTTACGGGGACTCTCCATAGGCGTAATGGTTTTTATACAGTACAAACTGTATTTAAAACCTACCTCTCACAGGAAACTTTGTGCATTTTTAGATTTTCAAAAAAACACCACTTAGTATGTTTTTTTAAGCCTTTTGAATTACGGGGACGCAGGTAGTGTCCTCATAAACCACCTTCATATTGTAATACCTGTGCCATAACCATGTCATTATACAAATTTGTGTCCTCATAAACCCCCCAAACCAATGCACACACACACACACACACACACACAGAGCTGAACAAGCATAGTGCTTGTATATGATTGAGGTAAACACACAACGGTTTCTAACGTTGGTTCATCTGGGTTTAACATAATCACCTTATTGCAGATTTACACAAACCCTTTATCTGACATGTCCACTTTAACACCTACAACCACAGACCACTGTGTGTCCACATGTCCAACTCAACAATACACCCATATCATGCACGAGCTCACCAAAATATTGTTACCCTAATTTTTTTAATATAAATGAACAATTCCATAATGCACAAATGTGTGACCGTGGACCACAAAGCAGTCATAAGGGTACATTTTTCGAAATTGAGATGTATA